CACATATATATGTGCAGGCAAAATGTTGACCACACCACATATATATGTGCAGGCTAAATGTTGACCACATATATATGTGCAGGCGAAATGTTGACCACATATATGTGTGCAGGCGAAATGTTGACACATATATATATGTGCAGGCGAAATGTTGACCACATATATATATATGTGCAGGCGAAATGTTGACCACATATATATGTGCAGGCAAAATGTTGACCACATCACATATATATGTGCAGGCAAAATGTTGACCACATCACATATATATGTGCAGGCGAAATGTTGACCACATCACATATATATGTGCAGGTGAAATGTTGACCACATCACATATCATGTACTGATGGGTCTATAAAAATATGAGTCCATCATTAGATGCTGATTTGCCACTGGTATGAAATGGGGTCTTTACATTTACATTTACGGGTTACCAAATCTTTCCATAAATAAAAGGCCCCCAAGTATGACTGACTGACTGACTGACGATCAACCCCACCAGGACCATACAATGAGTGATAAACACACAGTAGTGCCACCATTCAGATGAAAATCACCTGGGCGCAAGTCCCAGAAACCTCACTCAGCCCGTAAGTTATATTTAGGGCCCCTGACAACAGCAAGAGTGGGGCTTTAAAATAACTACACACAAATTGCCTCCCATATTGGGTTGGATCATTATCTTCCATGTATAAGATGACCCTATTTGTTTTAGCCCAAAATTAAGAAATAAATATTATAATCACATTCCATCACAACCCCGAATTTAAAAAAGTTGCTCAAAAACATAAAGTCTTATGTACTGAAATATACAGTATAAACAGTACAAATAGTTGATTTGCTGGAGTTGTACAGAAGGTATATTTTTAAATGATCAGAAACACATCACAGTGATGTAAAATGTTGACTTTTCCTCTATGAGAATTTTAGTATCATGTCTGAATGTCCAGATAATAACTCTTGTAGGATGCAGTTGTTTCCCCAAATTTTAATTTGTTAAATATTTTCTCTTTGTATTTCCTTGCACCGTAAATTTGTTAGAGTTTATTATTTCATATTTTTATTTCACATAATCTGTAAGAAATATTGCTGATGTAACACAAGTGACAAGAAGAATTAAAGTAACATATCTGATTTAGCAAGTAATTTTGATAGGGAAGAAAATACAAATTATTCACACTGGCAGGGCATCAGCAGCTTTTAAATGGAACTGGTGTTAAAACCAAGTTACATATTTTCAATTCTTATGTTATTTCAGTTTTAACAATCACAGTAAAAGTTGGAGAACCACTAAAGACATGGAACAAACATTAAATGCAATTGAAAACAAAAACCTGAAGAAAATGTTTAGCATAAAATGGGATGAATTTAAGAGAAATGTATGGGCAACCACTGGTAACAACAATTATTAGACAAAGAAGAGGGTGCTGTATTGACACATACTGAGAAGAAACAAGCAGAGAACAACAAACAGGCACTAAAATAGGAAATAGAAGGATTGAGGAAGTGAGGACATCCACAAGAAACACTGAAAGACATGCTAATGAGAGAGGCCAAAGGTGCTGGACCAGATGTCATCTATGAAAAAGAAATGATTGTATGGGATAGAATGGATTGGAGGAGTAGTCTTTGAGCTGTTCTTCTTCTTTGTTTCTCTACTTTTGGAATGCCTCGTAGAGTCAGGGCAGGAAAGGATCCTTCTGTTCACTTTGTATATAGTACTTTCCAGTGTCTCAGACATTTTGGTGGTCGACCTCTGGCTCAGTTATAGTTGTATCTGCCAGTCCTGTTACATGGCCAAATCATTTGATCTGTTATCCACCGATAAAGTTCAATATTGGTTCTGTGCCGACTGTCCTCCTGATGTCATTGTTCCTGAGTCGAGCTTTGTGTCACATAATGATGAATGATTAGAAATGCTGAAAGCAGAGGTCATATAATGGCTAGATGCTTACCTTCCACCTAACAGGTCTTGGGATCAAATCTTCATCAAGCCAGATCGTTTCTAAAAATGACCTTGGCTCCCAGTATGATCCAGTCTAAAAATGGGTACAAGGTAAAGACCTGGGAAATAAACATGGTGGCGGAATGTTGCTGACATCACTTACCAAATGCTGATTGGTCTATACAGATATGAGTCTGACATTCAATGCCCGATGTGCCACTAACCTGAAAAGGGCCCTTTACTTACTTAAAACTATATAAGTTAAGGACCCTTTCTCACACAATCAGGCATATTGGGTACATAGGGCTAGACCTAAATTTTGGAGACTAATCAGCACTAGGTGGCATGATGTAGTGAGTATCATACCAGCCACCTTTACTTCCCCAGGCTGCACCTAAAGCTGGGTCGACCTGGGAGGCACAGTCATTTTTGTAGAAAAGTCTGGCTCCCTCGGGACCCTAACCCACTTAACACCGTAACACTTAAAACTATAAGAAATAATAAAAGATGATAAAGTTGCCTGCCATAACTACCTGTATTTACTTTATTTGTGTTGGGAGTAGAGGGGGGTCTCAGATGCATGGCTGGTGCTGTTGCCATGGACTGCAGGTTAGGATTTCATTTTTGCCCCGGACAGAAAAAAATCCACGACCTTACCGGGATTTGAACCTGGGTCTCCCATATGAAAGCCTGTTAGGCCGGATGGCGCTGTCTGTTAAAACATAGATGAGACAGAATGTGTTATGAGTTATGATTATAACCTGACTGTTAGCCTTCCTTTATAGATGCTTAATAATATTGGTTTTATAAATGGGTTTGTTATCTTGGAGTTAATGTTATATTTGTCATTATGTAGAATGTTTGCTGTCAAATGACAGGCCCTAGAACTGTAGTTAGCCAATACACATTGAACGAAAAAGACACAAACAATAATAGATTGCACAATTTATTGTGTGCCATATTTTGCTGTATCTCGTCAGGGGCATACTATAGTCATCATTATCATCATCAGTTTCTACTTCTGCTGTTAATCACAGTGGGGTGGAACAGTTTGAGATCCATTGCTTGATGGGCAGCAATGGATATTGTCATTCTATGTCGATGAAGAGGCTCTTTAATGTCACTGGTTAATCTTCTCCTAGGGCGACCTCTTGCTTTCACATCAGATCTTTTCCTGTTTGGCGACTGCGTTGGTAGTTGTTCTGGCTACATTCTTAATAGACTGCCAAAACTTAAGTAACAATTGAATATAATGAACAAAAAAGAGAGACACAAAAAAAAGGCAAGTGTTCTAATTGGAATTTAAAATCAACTATACTCAACTATACCTATTATTATATTATCAACTATACCCTGTTTTACCAGGGTAAACACAGGTACACAACCATGTCTTTCTGTCTGCACAAATCTTTTTTTAAATATATCGTGGTTCATATTTACTTTTTACTGCAGTATGCAACAAATGAGATGTGAGCAAAATATGTTAGGCAGTATATTGCGCGGTCTATTCTTTGTGTCTTCTTTGTTCAAATTTTAATACGGAAACATTGCTTTTACAGACACATTGGTAGCTGACAGCCATGTGTGTATACTAACTGCTCTGGTTATTTGCTTTTTATTGACACTTAGCTTCCCTGTGTGGGTTCTAGGGCCCCGTCGGTGAGAGGAGGGTGGGAGGTTGGAAGAATAGACCTACTCCCCCCCCCCCCCCAGTGATCGTGATGTTGTGAAAGGAGACTAATTAGAGATGTTTCCTTCAGAGTCAGAAGGCATCTCCCCTGTGTGGGTTCCGGGGCCCCATTGTGGGGAAAACAAGAATAGACCCACTGCCTCCCCAAAAGCATGTCGTAAGAGTCAACTAATTGGGGAGCTTCCTTTGAAGACGGAGTGCGTCTGCCGGAGAGGCAAGGAACCAACAGTCTGTATTCAAGAGAATGAGATCTGTAAAACTGATGCACACGCAACACTCAGGTTCTGGAGCAGGACTGCAGTTCAGTAGTAGACGAGCAACCAGAACCTTCCGCCAGAGTTTACAGCTGGTGAACGCGAAGAAGAAGAAGAAGAAGAAGAAGAAGGCATCTGCCTGAGAGGTGAGGAAGCAACAGTCTGCATAAAGATAAGTTCTGGAACAAGAACTAAAGTCCAGAAGTGGATGAACAACCAGAGTTTTCTGCCGAAGTGTACAGCTAATGAACACTGAGAAGAAGTAGGCACTTAACTCTTTTGTCTCAGAAAATTGTGGCTTTAACACTTTTCTGTCTTAAATTGTGTGTACATTAGAGTAACATTCTTCGTCTTCTGTGGCAGAAAACAAGAAATTTAGGACAGAAGGAATGAGTTAAAGTAACAACTGGAAGAGTAGGCACCTTGTAACCACACCCCCCTCCCCCTCCCATGTTAGGGGGTAGGTTTAGGAAATTAATTTAATATGTAGTATAGGTTTAATTATTCTCTCCGTAGAAATTACCCAGAGTAAATAAATTTTGTATTGTGGGTTATATGAATTATTTTCCACAGGATATAAAGAAGCTGAACAAAAATCCAAGCAATACATAAGCAAAGAACAAAACACAAAAAAACAAAATTATAAACCCAAATTGTTAAAAAGTACAAGTTTTATAGCTACAAAACGAAACATTTACTTACTTTTATAAAAGGATATTTTTTTAAAAACCCAGATTTCAAAATTTAAACCCAAGGTGTCGTATAAAAACTCAGATCTTGGGGGAAAACTCCAGTGTTGGCATCCCTGACTATGACTGTTCCTATTGCATTCAGTCACTTTTGTAACCTTTTTAAAGGGAACACAATTATATTGAGCATTGACAGAAATTGAGTGAGTACCAGGTGACAGTCCTGGAAAGTAAAGGCAGCTGGCATGATGCTGACCACATCACCCACCAAGTGTTGATTGGTCTATCAAATATAAGTCTAGCCCTATATGCCCACTACGCCTAAAGGCGTGGAAAAGGGACCTTTACTTTACTTATATTGACAGAAATTAAGTCTTGTTGTACAAATCTTGTGTTTATTCTATTTTAAATCTTGTAAACAGAACCAGATGTATTTGAAGCTACTGCGGTGTTTGACTTTGAAGCTCGCTCACCTCGGGAGCTGACCTTCCGACGTGGAGATACACTAGTGCTGTACAATCAAATGTCATCTGATTGGTGGGAGGGTTGCTTCCGGGGCAAGGAGGGACTGATCCCGGACAAGTATATCAGTGTCAGACACCTGTAAGTTTGTGTCCATTACTTGCTGCGATAGTTTTCTTCTTCTTAGCGTTCAATGGCTGTAAACTCCAGCAGAAAGTTCTGGTTGTTTGTCCACTCCTGGATTCTGGTCTTGATTCAGAACTTGGGTTTGCATGCACATCTGTTTTTCAAAACTGGTTTATTTATATGAAGATTGTTGGTTCCTTGTCTGTTAGGCAGATTCACTCCGACTTTGTAGTTAATTGAGTCCCTTTGCAGGACGTTGCAGAACCAACCCCAGCATTTTTTTACCTTCAGTAGTTTGCCGTTGCTCACTGAACAGTCACCTCTTGGTACCACTGTCAAATCCAATGGGAGACAGATTGTCAGCAGCTGCGATTGAACCCGGCCCCCCGGCATTACGATGAGTGTTCGCTACGCCTAAGCCACAGACGGTGACTTTGAACTTTGAAGTAAACACCCCTAATTAGTCAACTCTTCCATCATGCTTGTTTTAGGGAACAGGGGATCTATTCTTTGTTCTCAAAATTGGAGCCGCAACAGCCCTCACCAGCAGCTGCGATAGTGAAACATTAGCTTATCACCTTCTTCTTCACCTCTCATCTTTTTTTTTAAGCTACTGTTTGCAAAATGTCTATTCTGACATGTGTCAAAAACAGGATTGTTCAGTTGAGGTCAACAGTAACGTCCATAGTTCACTTGAGGTCATTAGAAATGTCCCATAGTTCACTTGAGGTCATCAGTAATGTCCCATGGTTCCCTTCCTCCTCATCATTTTTTCTCAGAAAATTCTGTAAGTTGTCTGGTATCTAATTGCATGAGGCTGTGTTGACACCAGAACCTTACAGGTTGAAAATAAATCCTGCCACATCTGTGGACTGAATTCATACCACTCTCTATGGTGAAGTAGTCAAGCTTTGCGCTTGGAAAGTCATATGTTCATTTTGCGGTTGCATCGTTCAGTTCATAAGTACAGTTTTTACGGAGCTTCTTGGGGATTGTTGCTGGATCTACAGAGTGTGTGCTTTGTGTGATGCTGTCAGCAGGTAGCTAGCCATTCTGCATAGAGAGACAGAGCCATATGCAATAAAACTAGAGTCGATCCTTCTGTTAACTTTCAGCAGTTTTATTTTAAAACCAATAACTGTTAGTGTGTATAATCAGCAGTGAAGAAATTTGAAGACCATTTGTAAAATTTATTAAAGAGCAACAGGTGAGATGGTTTGGCCATGTGATGAATGTGCTGGTTGCATTTGCCACAGCGAGCTATGCTATGCTAAGGAAATAAAATGAATGCATAGTAAGTGGAAGTCCATGCAAAATATGGAACAACAGCATCAAGAACAGATGAAGATCAACTCAAACAGTGCATTAGAAGGATGACATCGAAGATTCCTAATCCCCCCCCCCCCCTTCCCCCCTGCCACTTTGATAAGGCGCCTAGAGGAAGAGAAGAAGAATAAGAAGATGAACTGTTAGTATTTTTCATCAATTTTTCATAATTTCTGTGTCTATTAACGTATATGCCTGCATTAAAAGTGTAGTACAGGTAAATAGTAGTAAAGTAAAGATCCCTTTTTACGCCTTAGGCCCATCGGGCATATGGGAAGAGCACCCATATTTTTACAGACCAATTGGCACTAGATGGGTAATGTGGTCAGCATTACGGCGGCCGTCTTTACTTCCCCAGGATATACATCCTGGTACCCATTTATGGACGGGGTCGACCTGAGTACAGGTAAATGTGTATGTACAAATGTAAATATAATAAGAGATTGTAAGTATTGTATGGTTATTTCTTGACTTGGAATACATTTTTTTAGTCAGTTTTAAAAGAGAGGGGAGAAAAGGGAAGGGGCAACAGTCTGACAGTGTATGTGAAGTATAAAGAGGGAGGAAGGGGTGAATCACTGATCAGTTTTGTGTACTGGTGGGCGCTTGAAGTTATTTCTTTTAACTTCAGTTTTTATAGTGTTTTTGACTCACTTCGGTATAGTGTACTTTGTTTTAGCAATATACTTTAAACAATTTGTTATACCTTTATGCTCAATACATTCCAAATAAATTTAAAAAATTGCACAGCCTACTCCAAACATTGCAGTCTACTCCAAACATTGCACAGCCTACTCCAAACATTGCACAACCAACTCCAAACATTGCACAGTCTACTCCAAACATTGCAGTCTACTCCAAACATTGCACAGCCTACTCCAAACATTGCACAGCCTACTCCAAACATTGCACAGCCTATTCCAAACATTGCACAGCCTACTCCAAACATTGCACAGCCTACTCCAAACATTGCACAACCTATTCCAAACATTGCACAGCCTACTCCAAACATTGCACAGCCTACTCCAAACATTGCACAGTCTACTCCAAACATTGCACAGCCTACTCCAAACATTACACAGTCCATTAAAGGCATTGCGCAGCCCACACCAAACCTTGCACAGACCACTGAAAGCATCTCTTTTGTTACCTCTTGTATACCTACATAATTCTTCTTCTTCTATTCAGAGAGGACAGCAAAGGTCATCTTAACCATGAAGAAGACAAGAACCTGATGGTTTCCAGCATGACCTTACCAACAAGACCCTCTCGTCAGATCAGCGATGACTCAGGCCTCGATGCCTGCGACAAGTCATTCTCACAGCCTAATGTTTCCATCAGAGAAAAAAACCGTCTGGAAGTACAGGCGGAGCTTTCACCTCCGCCAGTTCCCCGGGGGTCAGCTGTACTCAATAATGGAGGAGGGGAAGTTGTAGATACTGGACTGAAGAAAGACGCACCTAATTCTTTAATATTAAACTCAGGCACAGCGAATACACCTTCGTCATCACCGGAGCAGAGCCCAGTGTTGGAGTATGTCAAGGAGAAGGAAATACTGATAAGAGATGCATCCCCTCCAATATCACCATCATCATCTGTGAATAAATGTGCTGATTTGTCCTGTTCTTGTGTACCAGCTTCCCCCACTTCCATCGATTCAGAGTCTGTTGCAGTAGATTGCAGATTCCAACAAGGTCCTGGAGCAGAAAGGAAGGACAGATGTACATGATTTTGTCCATAGTATTATATCAGCAGATACTACACCTGAGGATTTAAGTGTAGACATTGACACTGCATTAGAGGAAGTCATGGCAGGACTGAAGTCTTTGGAGATGCAGCAGCAGCTGGATAAAAGAATGTCCCTTCCTGCTGTCAAGGTCAAACAAACTCCCAAACACACTCCAGATTTAGTGTTAGATCTTCCTGATGGAGACATGACCAGTTCATGTACAGACTCCATTGAGCAGAACAGTCCTACCATCAGTGCTGCTGAAAACTTTGCTAAATCAAACCAAGGGACACTGAAGAAGGCCAGGGCACCACCTCTGGGGCGGCAAGACCCCACTAATAGGTTGAGTATATCTTCAGAACCTGGGGATTTAGCACGATCTAAAGAACCATTTGAGAAAGGGATGGATACGATCTCTAAGCAGGTACCTCTGTCAACTTTCTCATTAAAGAGAGCACAAAGTGTCGTGCAGAGCCGAGAAAAATTCATGGAGTCCTGCTACAGAACTGAGCCTCCCTCAGCCTCATCATCATCAATTTCAGCATCCACCCCGATTACATCCTGTGATGCTCCCACATTTACTTCTACTCCCAGTTTCACTCCATCTCCTCCACTGCCAGCTTCTTTTTCTTCTTTAACCTCAGGACCTCCTCCAGTGGCGCAGAAGCCCAAGCCACCCATGAAAGTGAAGCCCCCAGTAATGAGAAAACCTGCATCAAGGCCAGATGTTTCTAGCTCTCCACCATTACAGCCACCCCAGTAATCACAAGTTTCATGACCCCAGAGTTGAGGAACATGAAAACCACAAACAGATCTGTTCTGCTGACTTCTGCTGCTCACCTTGTTCTTACATCATATGTTTTATAACTACCTTTATACACAGCTGTCTGTTTTTAATTTGTCTGTCTAACATGGCCCTCATTTATATAATAATCATTAGTATTCCAGTTTTATCTGTATTGATTCATTCTTTTATGTTAACCTGTCTGCCAGGTGTGATCTTAGCCTGATTTTTGTTTTTAATAGGCCAAAAAAGATGTGCCCTAATTCTAACTGCTCATTTAACATTTGTTTTTATTTATGTTTGTAAATAACTGATGAACAAATTAACTTCTATTTTTTAACACAGTGTTAAGAATTTAAACAATGAATTCCTTTTATTGACACAGTAGTTTTAGAATAGAATGCATTTTAACGACACATTCATAAACTTTCTTCTCAAGACATTGGGCTGCCTTTGTTGACAGTGAAATATAGAAAAATTGCAGAGGAAACATGACCAAATCAAGCCTAATACAACCCACTTCCTTTGTGTGGTACTGAATTGTTACCTGGTTACAAATACCTGCTTGACAGTCTGAAGGTCTACAGTTTGAATCCTTCTCAAACTGGATTTGTATCATTTATCTGGGGTAACAGGAAATGCATTGGAATGTGAACTCTTTCAGTGCAAAACAGCTCATCACACTTTTCTTGATCTGTCCAAAGATAATATTATGTCTTTGCTGTCTTCAACCACAGGAAGCTGCCTTGGTGTAGCATCTAGATGCCCACTTTTGTAATTTAAAGGTTGTGGGTTCAAATCCGAACAGAGCTGAACTTATTTAAAAAATTACCTTGGCTCTCTGGCGACTCAGTCTTAAATGGGTACCAAGTTAAGTCCTGGGAAGTAAAGGTGGCCAGCATGATGTTAACCACATTACCCACCAAGTGCCAGTTGGTCTATGCAATATGGGTCTAGCACTATATGCCCAATATGCCCGAAAGTGTGGAAGTGTGTCCTTATTCCTGCCACACAAATTTGTTAGTAAATTAACCTTTCTTATGTGAATTGTTAATTCTACCACTTGTATCCCATAAAGTCACCACTGAACTCCTCAAGACCAAAGTCAGTATTGCTTTCATGCCAAACTCCTTAGCATAGACAAAAGTAATGTAATAAATGCTTGGAACTGATTTTGGCCACATAACCTATCGTGTGTTGATTCGTGTAAAACAGTATAGATCTAGCACCTTATACACCAGTGGCATCGAAAAATTATCCTTTTGTATTCTACAAACCTCTCAAATGATGTAATTCCAGTATACCAATGTTGCATATTGTGTTCAATTGGAGGGGGAAGCTGGTAAGGACTGATTACCAATTACTGATTTGAGAATTAAAGCAAATATCTTAATTTGTAGATGCTGACTGTTTCCATAAGACACTGATTATATATACATTGTTCTCTTCTTCTCATACATCTCTCCTTGCCGGATTCTATTCGCGCATTCATACACATGTTATTTCATCGAATCTCATGTCTTATGTTGACATTTGTTCATATTTGATCACCAATATCCAGAAAAAATCCACAACAGGAGCTAAAAAACAAGGACTTGAAATAAAAAAGACAAAAATCTGACACTTTACAGCCGAAGCCAAACCAGTAAAAAGGAGAGGAGAAGAGCAAAATCTGATGTGTTAGCAAAACAACACAAGCACATCAAAACAACAAAAAGCAAAATCTTGAGGACGGACAAACAAAAAAGAATCCTGATACGGAACTAGCAGAGAAGACCTTGGACCTGAAGGATTGGACAGTGTAACACATAAACCCATTAAACTTGGCAAAATAAAAACAGACCGCATTTATAACTAAAAGCTTTTTTTTTTTTTTTTGAGCTGGTTGAACATGACCAGATTTCTTTTTTCATCAAACAAGCAAGTAAGGGAAGCTGAACTCTACAACACAGGCCCTGTGTCAGATTGCTTCTTCTACCGGTACTGTCCAAGACTTTTCTCTTACTAGCCGGTGACTCTTAAAGGTATCCAGAGCTTTATGCTGGAGGTATTTCTTGTTTGTGGCTACTCTGAGTAAAACCCCAGCACTTTAAGTCTGTCTGCATTAGTTTCATTCTGCTCTGGTCAGAAAAAGGTACAGCTGCCTCTTTTGGTAATTGAACTTGGACCACTGTCTTGGCAAGCCAGTGTGCTAACCTAGTGTGGGACCATTAGTGTTAACCATGTCTGACAGCTGCCCTATGTATTTTTACTTTGCATATGCCAGCCTCAAAATTTTGCTGAGACTGACAATTTTTTCACTAGTTTTTAAATGGGCCAGTAAAGGATGTTTTGTGTGGTTTCCATTGGCACCGGAATGGAACAGTTATAGGGTGATCTATCTGAAAGGATGTTAGAACCTGAACTAATGACTAACTAATGAATAACAACTATTCCACAGCATCTACAATTTATCAGATTTAACAAAATAAAAGAATAAGTATGGCTTCACTGCTGGACATTAGAATAGTTTCCCTTTGTATATGAGTAGAAAAAACCAAGTCTTCCATTGCAATATATACTTTACAGTATTATGATAAGTTTTTTCTGCAGCCTATGGGTTGTAAACACAGTGTCGCAATCCCCAAATACTGGTATTCAATGTCAGCTGCAGGCGATTTGGTAGCAGATCAATTTGCATTGATTTTGACAATGTAATAAGCAATGTACCATTTAGTAAACAGTGACAAACTGCTGGATGCACGTCTACACACACAACAGCCAATAAATGCTGGAATAGGCGATGTTTCAAACAAAAACAAAAATGGAGATGCAGCTAACTTTAGGCTTCTGTTTTAATATCAGTTGCTGATATGATATTTCTGTGTGTTGATATATTTTTATAGATTTATTTTGACTGGATATAGATTTTGAATATTGTTATATTAATTTGAAACCAAAATATGTTGTATAGTAAATACTTCTTTTCGTATGTTTCTTCAGTAATTTTAAAAATGTTGCTGCTGCACAAATTTTAATTGAACCACTTTTATTCATTGGGTGTTGCTGTGGCGTTGGCGGCTAGACGCCCACTTGTGGATCATGGGTTCCCGTCCTGACAGAGCCAGACTTTTTTCAAAAATGACCTTGACTCCAAAGCAATTGGCATGATGCTGACCTTATCCCCCACCAAGTGCCGATTAGTCTATCAAAAATACAAGTCTAGCCCTATATTCTCAACACGCCTAAAGGCGTGGAAAAGGGGACCTTTACTTACTTACTTTTATTCATTTATACATATTTTAACAAAACAGTTACTTAGTTAAATTTCCTCATGTTTTATCCAAAAATATATTTTAAGCAATTATTTTCCTATAAATGCTGTCCGGTCATTGGGTGGCCAGTCACAGAGATGAATGCTTGCGGGTGATATCTGTGGCAGTGAACCTCAAGGGCTGAGAAGCTTGAAGAAGAAGATTCTCCTCCATAAGGTATACATAGGAAAGTTTTTAAACCTTGCACTTCATAAACTTTTCAGGGTTAAAAATCATGAATCTGGAAATTCCTGAAAGAAATCTTTCAAGAAACAACCATTTTACACAAGTCACCAATAAATTTTCAACAATTTGTTTATGTAAATGTAAAAAAAATTCTTTTATAAATATGTGAAAGTGAGTAATCATTGAACATGAACGGATTGGAGAATTAAATGGATTACATTCCCTTGGGCCTAAAACTTCCTTTTTGTTTTCAATGGTAACTGTAATGACGACACCTCACCTTATCATTATGTGGCTGCTAAGACTAAAGGCAAATTATGATATCATAGTGGCTAAAAGAAAGTCATTTTCTTCCCTAATAATCTACCTGTGCTCCCCTCTCTCCCCACCCTTTTTCCCCCATCCCAAATGCTATTTTTAGGAAATATAATCACACCCTGTCCTCCTAAACATTGTGCAAACATAACCAACCAGTGCTGTTAACTATAACTAGGCTTGGAGGACACAGTAAGGCAGTACCTCGGCATTGTAATAGATTACCATGCTGGATTAGCTGTATCAAAGGATTAACCATTTGCCGTGTGTTCTGAAGTTAGTGGGTTTGGTTTTAGACTCTTTTTTCTGGTTGTTTTGGAAATTACAGGGAGTTATTGCAGGAACTATGCTTTTTTTTTTTTAGCTTTATGGGCTACACTTGGCAGACAAATAGCTCTCTGTAAAATTTTTCAAGCTTATTCATTTTACAAAAATGACAAGCTGTGTATTGAAATAATGATTTCTTTTACCAAATTTGTTTTTAATTTTTTTTATTATTAATTACTGTTATGTCATTTTTATTTGTTGTCAGGACATTGCCTTTATATTTCTCTTTAATGATTTAAAAAAAAAAAAGAAATTTAATTTTCAGTCTTCTTGCAGAATATGTTGATAATATTATCTTCCTCAGTTGATTATACCTTTTCAAATATGCTTTCTCTAAAACACTTATCCTTAGATGTTAATTGTTTAAACTACTAAATGTCTTTTTCTTTGCATTATTTCAAATTGTATTCTTTCTTTTCACCCTGATAAAATTCCCCATGAACACAAATTGTCTACATTGAAATGTCATTGTATCATATTATGTGGAAAAGGCATGCCCTATTGACATATTAGATAACTATTTTTAGACCCTTGTAACATGATAATAACTACACTATATGGTGTCAAACATTGTTAGCTTAGCTTCACACACACTGGCATAGTGGTAGTGCACATGGCTACTGGAGTGAATGTTGCACAGTTTAATTCCTCCCACACTCATGGTATTTGGGCATATTTATCCCATTTACTGTCTAAAATTTTGGGGAATAGAAAATGTGCAGTTAATTTTGTATAATTGTGATACACAGCCAATATGAAAAAAAAGTAAATTTACTAGGACTGGTTTTTACTGAAAGAAGTAGAGATAGGAGGACACACTAGGCAACATACAAATTGAAAGCTATAGTTACCATACTG